GTTGTGTTGTGTTACTAGTTTAAATGCTTGCAGCAACACAAATTTAAGTTCATAAATTAAAAACAACATAAATAAAGTTCATTTCAACTGCAAATTAAATCACTTTTATATATGTAAAGGCGTGACATATTAACATTTCAAATTGGAAATCTTTTATGGGAATTATGATGGTATTTATTGTAAATTTCCTGATTAGTGAAATATTTATTATGCAAATGAGCAATTAGCATATTTACACACATCCCAAAAACAATAGGTTCCATCTTCCTGTTACCCTCTTGCATTCTGCCAAGTTTGAAACTAACTGGGCTTGCCAAGTTTAGTTATCATGGTATTTAACAAATACCAATTACAAATACAATTTACTACCAAGGACAACGACAAAAACAACAACATAAATCATTTTTCTATGTGTTATTATCCTTATTTATTAGAGGCTAATAATTAAGGATGATAACACAAAGCAAATAATCATTTTACTTACATTGAGTTCAATTAAAAGAATCTTTGTAGTTTTGTTAAGATCTGCTCTATATGTTTCAGCTATAGGCTCTCCCATCTTTATATCTCTTGGTATCAATATAAAACACAAAATACCCGCAATTACTCCACAGCACAAGATAGACAGTCCAACCCACATCCATCTGAAAACCCACAAAAAACATATATTGTAAATGTTTATAAAAGGAGACCAAAAATATGGGATAATGGGAAACCACTTCTTTACAACTTTAAACGCTCTGTCTAATAATAATAATAATAATACTCAAATATTTATAAGGCGCCAATTCCAAATTGAATGATCAAAGGCACGAGCGTTATTACCCCTGGTCACTGGATAATGTACAATGGCAAACCAGCACAAAGTGCAAGTTTCTCTGCTCCCTGGGGAATATCCCTAGTCGTTCGCTACTTCTTCAGCGCACGCAACTAAAACATTCAATGCCACAACATCCTACCGGGTACCCATTTATACTCCTGGGTAGAGAGAGACAAACGTAGATAAAGTGCCTTGCCCAAGGACACAAGCGACTTGCACAGCGAGAGTTTCAAACCCCTGACCTCAAAGTTGGGAGTCAAGGCACAATCCACTTCTACATTATCAAATTTTATGCGACAATGTGATAGGCCCAAATTTAGGAGTAATATGACTTCACCATGTCAATACTGTATATGGGTACATTACACAAATTTCTCACTAAAAGTTTGATAGCCTGGACAAAATGTAAGTAATGGGATGGAGCACCTTAAAGGACACCTCCGGGTTTAAAATTTCTATTAAAATATATATAGAACAGTCAGCTTGCACCTTGCTGATAAGATTTTTCACAATTGTTGGAGTGCAGTAGTGCAGGACGAGCACTGCAAACTGGGTCCCTAAATACAAGTGGTGGCATTACTATTACTATATTTTTTGGCATCTTGGTGAACAAAAATATTTCCAGGAAATCTTACGTTCTTCTAGGCTTCAGTCGGTCATCTTTGTATGGAATAAGGGCCACAAGCTCACCCTCTTGTCCTGGAAAAAAAACAAAACAAACATCGTGACATGATGCCTCTTTGATGAAGTATCCATTGTGATCAATAATTAAATGTATGCATTTACATTAGAATATTATAAGTTTAGCTAGAGGACAGTGAGCTTGGCTGGTACATCGATATATTTCCTCCATGGCCATTGAAGGTACTTTATTGTAATAATATGAAGCCAGAGGTGAACAGGGCTCTGGGGAGTGAAGCTGAAATATCCTATTTAGTGCAGCAGGTGAGTAGTGAGTTTGTTTAATACTATATTCTGACACTAACAATTGTAATAGAGGGTCAGAATGGTTAATAAACAGTGCAAACATACAACTTTTAAATCATGTATCTCAACACTCTATAATTAGTCCAAGAATTTTGATATAAAAATTTCAAAGATAACAATTATTATCTGTTAGTAATTTTCCCACATTCAATTGTTTTTTGGAAAAAGTGGAACTCTCTGTTTTTATATGCTGACGGCATGCCCTCTATTTCACAATTTTTTTTTCCCCTGTATGAAGAGGCTGTTGGCTTTAATTTAAGTTTCATTAAATCCATTAATGACTTTAAATGTTACAATGAGATTATCCAAAAAGGCTTTGTTTTAGAGTTGTCCACTATCTGTTTTGGTCGGTCATTGTCATAATTACAGGTACCGATTTAGTTCTTAATACAGTTGGATTTCAGACATGCACAAAGAAATCTGATATAATATTAAAAACCTAACCTGTCTATATATGTTTTAAATTAAGACTGTTTTATAGCTTTGTTAAGTGAATCTAATAAATTTTATACTTGATTAATCTTAAGTGATAACCACTCCAAGGTTTTCTTGAGAATCGACCTCAAGCTCTTCCTGATCTGGTGCGGATGCAGGATTCGGTGGTGGGAGTGCATGCAAAAAATTAAGGAAATATTACCTGTAGATGGCCAGAAATGACACTTTTATACAGTATTATATTAGTAAAAAATATCAGCGATTTTTGGCAACCACAGAGATCTAATTAGTATGTGTAATGTACACATAAAGCTTAAAAACATTCTCTTTGATGTATTGCGTTACCTACTTTAAAGCTGCCAGTCCACAACCACCTCAGCCCCACCATGGTTGGGGGCCGAGGAGAGAAAATTTGAGGAAATACTAAATTTAGATCGCCGGAAATGACACTTTCATACAGTAACATTCACCATTATCACACCATCATTATTAAATTTTAGTCTAGATGAGCGCCAGCAAATTTCTCATGATCTTTAATCAGGGATTTTCGGCATCAATAGAGATCTAATTAATACGAGTGATGTACCATAGAAAATAAAGCTAAAGAAACACTGCCTCTGATGTATTTAATATACTCAACCTACCTCAAAGCCGTGTGGCCATTTCACCTCAGCCCCACCATAGTTAAAAAAAATTGAGGAAATAGTAACTCAAGATGGCCGGAAATAGTGATAGTAAGATCGCCGGGGAGTTGTTCCCCCTCCCCACCCACCATCGGGGATAGAAACCACAATTCGTCGGAGAGAAAAAAAATTATAAGTATTTTGTATATATTAGCAGAACCTAAAATCTATTAAATAAGCCTTTGAAACCCCTAAATTGTCAAAATTCGGGTGCTTCAGCTTAACTAAAATTCCAGAACTTTGTACTGAATAGCAAGCAAATAGTTGCCGCTCTTAACCAACACTTGGTTGTTTATCTAAATATCTAAAGAATTGCACAGTGCACTTACCTCGTGGTATTTTACCAGTTCCGTTGCACGTTGGACATGGCATACCTCCAAACTCCTCGTAACTTGACATCCGGTTAGAGTTTGGCGATATCTGCGGGTCCGTGTGATTAATATGTGGTATGCTCATTGTGTCAGTATTTACAATCGTGGATGGAGTATGGTTAACAGGTAATGCTGAACCTTCAATATCACCATCAGCACTGGTCATACTGCACCTATAGTCCAATAACCAACAAGTAAACACAATAAAAGATGCACACTATTGTTAAGTAAACTTTGTGTACATGCAATTTGAACTGTAAACAGAGTTTGTGGATTTAAAGACTAATCTAATTTAAACTATTAAGTTTCAACAAACAAATCAATGATCCACATTAAAAATAAGATCTTGCCTGGAAAATATATTCCTATTCTTATTTTGAAAATAAATGCTGATTTTTTCATCAAAATAGGACTTCACTAAGGTATTTTTTATCACTGTATATTAGATATAGTGTGTACTCTTCTGTGCAGGTATAATTTCTGAAAGATTTTCAGCACAATCTTAGTTTTTTGCACATTACTATAATGGAGGATGGATTAAATCAATTTTATAAGAGTATCCTTTTCCTAATCTGTCCTTTCTAAAGGCAGCCTGAGCCAAATCTTACCAACATACAATTCAAACCAAATCAAACTCTGACCAACCGACTCGAACCAAAACGATATGCTCTGTACTTGAATATTTCAATATTTACAGTTACTGTGATTTCAATTGTGTATAACAAGCATGTAATATACTGTAATACATGTAGGCCCATTATATGATATTTGAGTAGGTCTACTATCAGTTTTATTGTTTACTTTGAGGATCATGTGCTTGAACCTGTACATTCTTTTATTGCCCTATGACTATAAACTGACTTTGTACATAGAGCCCAGGCCTACTTATTTGGTAGGCATACATCCTTTTAACCCTTTAAAGTTGTGACCCGTATCCCATGTTGGATAATTTACGGTCCCAGGAGGCTAGGCCCGCATACGGAACAGCATGATTTCTCCCCTTGTTTTAGTCATGCTGCCCTCTGTTTCTGACTCTTTTAGGGGATTTCCTTAACGCCATAGTAACTGGACATGGCTTAACGATTGAATTTTTTTTTTGTCAGTGAGTGAAGTACTTGAGTAGACGAGGATAGTGGGATGAGAATATTGATTACATAAATATTTATTTCATAAATAAACCTGAATACCATTCTGAGGATATTTACAAACTTTTAGCAGTGCAACCAGTAATGCTAGGCCTAGGTCTGAAAACTTTCATGTCAGATTTGGTCACATAGTTAGATCCCCTCTCATATTTCAATATCCCTACCCCCATCTTCTCTATTATTCTTATTATTATTATATTATATTATTTCATCAATTTACTAGATTTAGTGAAGCATATCCTAGGCAGTGGCGGTGCCAGTGGGGGGACAGGGGGCTTAAGTCCCCCACCGGACAGGTCAAGCCCCCTGCCGAACAGAGCTCGTCAGAGCATAAAACATATAAAATAGGCCCACACCAAGCTATCACATGTTTGTCACAGTCTGAGAGTGCCATTTCCGGCCATCCAGAGGTTGCTTTCTTAAAAAAAATCTCATTTGGGAGGGGAACCCCCTCTAAGCTCACGTAAGATTTGATTGTGTTATAGACTATGGGTTGAGTCTTGAAAATAAGCTTAGTTAACGGATTCTGTGACCCATGGAGCCAAGCTACTTTCTATTTTTACAATGTGGGCTGAATCACTCATGCGGAACTCTGCTATGCCAATTTGTAGGCTTATTGTGTGTACTGTAGGGTGTACCTAAATACAATAGTAGGAGAAAACTAGAAGATGTAACAGTAGTAGGCCTATGTTCTATTAACTTAAAATTTGTACTCGGTAATATGGGTTATACTGAGCCGATTTTCACCATTCAAAAGTCGATATGAGGTGCTAGTTAACGTTAATTAAGATTTTTGGAAAGAAAATAATGAAATTATGTCTCACAGTAGAAGTTAATATGCATCAGCCGAATGTAGTACAATTGTTTATCAGTGTGATTAATCTGCTCAATAAACAATTTTAATTACTTGTGCAAATATAAAGATGTGGGTAACCTGCATCTTTACATACGACTTTTCATGGATCTCGACCTGCTATGTAGGCCCTCTTTAGGCTCGACGCGCCTAGACGATTGGAAGCGACGATCGAAGAAAAATGGTTAAGCAAGCCAAGGACTTCGCTAACTTCATTAGTCACATTTCAAGCCTGAGTTATTGGAAAGTGAAAGTATAGTACTCTAGAGTCAAGATAAACATGATTTTGAGTAATTGCCTTTCAAAGATATTTGTGCATATATTGTTTAATAGAATGAACTACGAAAAGTAACATTAAATAAACAATTTGTTGACCACTTCCACAACTAATACTTTGGGACATGATTAATAAGACATTAAAAAAAACAAAAAAACAAAAAAAACAACAACTGGCCCGTGTGGGAATCGAACCCACGATCGCCAAGTTTACTACCCTTGATCCAGCATGACTAAACGGAGGGAGGTAAACCGCGGCCCCTAAGCCATAAATGTGATAAGCCATAAATGTGATAAACCAAGTACCAGTTAGTCAACTCTGATCCTACTAGAAAAAATTCTTTGTATGTATACACTGCAGGTTAATATTACGCATGGTCATGGTGTCAAAAATGGGCCGTGGGCCAAGATGGTTTATTTTTTGCCTAAAAATGTAGAATTAAATTCATAATCGATTTTTGATTGTTACCATCTCCATAACTTGCGCACTTTTTTTTAAATAGACAAAAATGTTTGAAAAATTCATTATCCAAATTACAAAAAAAATATACTAATCATCTTACAGGAAACCTGGTGGTTGTGTGTTCAATTCCCACACGATCAAATTTTTTTATTTATTTTTTTTTTTGTTAAGGCCAGGGCTTCCAGACCTCTGATGACAAAGCCTGTACCAAAGCTTCGTATTTTTGCGGGCATAATGCCTAGACAGGATTGTTCATTCATATTGAAATTAGTGTTTTGATGGTGATTTTTTTTTTCATCCAATGGGAATTCATATTCTCGTTTAATTTAATTAATTTGTTTATGTTAAAGATCAAGTTTAATTTTTATACTTATGTTCTAATTGTATGTACTGAGGGTCCCAATTGATCAGCTCAGGGTCATGAGCAGTAATATTACTTGTATGTTATCTTTAGTTTTCATTTAACCTAGCTTTTGTTCCATCATTATATTGGTTTTATGTTGATGTTAAATTAATGATTTTGTATTGCAATTAATTTCTTAAGTTTTAGTATTTGTATTTTCTGAACGCAAAGTCAAAGTGACGTGTGCCAAATGATACAAAAAGTGTAGGTTCTACATATAATAAAAATAATAATAATTATTATTATTATTACTATTAAGTGAATAAATATGTAATAATGATTTAACGAATACAATAGGTTAGTTTACATTAACGTACAAGATTATTAAACAAATAATGAGTAAATACGTTCGAAATAGGACTATCCCTGAATATTATGATAGTCTCATCTATGCATGGTACTACTGAATGATATCCCAGTACCCAACCATTTTTTTAGCATTGACCAGGAACCTCCCTGAGATCACCTACTTTTGGCGACGTACAAAGAGATGTTTGCTAGCAGATAAATACGTCCGTACTTGGGTATAGGGGCGCGCAGTCTGGCGTATTATAATTCATTTTAGGGAGTCGTCTGGACATGTTTTATGATACATTCAGTCAGCCATAGTTAAAGGTGAGGAGCAAAGGCCAAACTGAATATTCGCATCCAAACGATGGGCTATTTTCAGACACGTTTTGGTAGAACAATAGAAAATGCATCTAAATGCAGATTTTTCGTCTGGAATAATTTAGCGATCGTGCCCAAAAGAAGCTGTCATTCAAATGCGCATGTTTAAATTATCTCATTTAACACTTAGATTCCTTCTTTACTAAGCCTACTTTAAACCGTACAGTAGCCAATTTATTTTTAAAATATACATTTTTGTTTATTCTGTTGCCCCAGAAACTATGCACCTATTTGCTTATATGAGGCAAAATGGCTAAGTTGTAGCAAAAATTGAAATTCAAGTTATTTGTATTTTCAAATACCTGAGTATGTAATCTTTAAAATGAGGGGTCATTCATTCAAATTGGACATTTCAAGCCTAAGTTATTGGAAAGTGAAAGTACAGTACTCTTAGAGTCAAGATAAACATGATTTTGAGTAATTGCCTTTCAAAGATATTTGTGCATACATTGTTTAATAGAATGAACTACGAAAAGTAACATTAAATAAACAATTTGTTGACCACTTCCACAACTAATACTTTGGGACATGATTAATAAGACATTAACTGCTAAACTAATCTATAGTGAAAAACAAATTTGGATTTTTAGGCAATTTTTTGAGCTCCCATATTTTATAGCTCATTTTACTCAATACTGGACTGTGCAACTTTACCATATTTATGCTCAGTGCTATACGATATTATACATATATGTATATATACATAATTAAAGTTATGTGTTTTCTAAGGATAGCCAGAAAAGCATCCACAGCTCCATTACAGAGACTAACCCAGTATGTCAACAGGCAATGGATACACAATCACTACTGGAATCCCCACAAATGGAGCGTCTACGGCTTATCTACATGTACAAACAATGATGACACAGAAGCGTGGCTCACAATAATATTTTATTATTATTATTATTATTATTGTTGTTGTTTTTCAATATTAGGGAAATTATGGCCAATTAAACACTCAAAACTTTCAGACGTTTTATAATACATAGAGTATAGGCAAAAAAAAATGTGACCCAAAAAACTGAAAATTGTTTTTTTTATCTTAATATTTAAGATAATCAAGTGAAATCAAGTTGAAATCTTATCATTAAATCAGTTGAATGTCTTTGCAACAAACCCCTACCCTTCTCATTGTCCCCTCTCCTCCCCACCCAGGGAAATTATAGCCAATTAACATTCGGAAACCCCGCCCCACCTAGGGACCTATAATAATATCAAAACAATCTATTGGATTACATCATTCTTCAAAGCAGAGAGAAAACAAGTTATAAATTCAGTCAATCCAGAAAAAAAAAATCTGTGTTTATATGTATTTAGTTAGTTTTATTTTTTTTTAATTCATAGCCTCCTTTTTTCCAAGCCAACTCATAAATTTTCTTTTACAAATTTATACAAACATGATATTGTTACTGGTCCGAAAAACACAAGGTCATCATGTAAAAGGCCTGAGGCCACCTCAAACATAGAAACATTGTAGTCAGTGGCATCATTAAATTCTTCTGTAGTTTTTATTTTTCTCCAGCAGTATGTAATTGTATAGTACTTGGACAACTTCATCGGGTAGTGAAGAAAACTTCACTAATGTGCTTCCTATGAATCCCTGCCATGGTCACCGGGATTTTAACAGTCTGGACTTCTTTTTCGGAGCATCAATTATATCCTAAAAGATAATATTTAAAAAAAGATGAATACCCATACACTTTTGGTCATGCTCAAAGACTTAACTTATTTTATGTTACACTTAGTATGTTAATTATGCTTTTATATTTTATGTAAATTACACATTTATGTGTAATGTAATATGTAAATTATACTTTAATATTTTTTATATAATGTATTTAGGATTTGTATTTAATATTTGATAATTTAATGTATTTTCAGTAAACTCAGCTTTCAAATGCTTTTTAATAAATATATTATCTCTACTTCTTATATTTTATTTATTGAATTTGTTTTAAGTTAAAAAAAGTACATTTACTGTTTAATTAAAAAAGGAATACCAATGCATTAATGAAATGCACAATATAGAATAATGACATCATCCTAGAAATTCAGCCAATCAGAATGCGTATTTGGTAGTAGCTGTAACAATACCTCATCAGACCGATACACATCAGTCATGTGATAGTTAACAGAAAACATCGCCTTTATACCAATTATACCTAAAAATTATACTGTACCTTATACAGTAACATCATCTAATTTCATATAAAATAAATAACAAAAACTATTCCTATTGTAATTTTTAATACCAACTTATCAATTGATAAGACAAATGTAACAATATTTGTAGTTTTAGTGACTAAAAAAATCATGTTTATGATCGACAGACACCAATTTGGCACTGTGGTACTGAATAGGTTTAAACAAACATGGGACCATTCCAGGCACTATATGATTAAATATCTATTTTTCAACAAGTACGATTTCCATTAAACTTCATAATTTGATAGATAACATAATAAAAAATATAATGTCTACTTACTATGGTTACTGCTTGTAGTGTAGAAGGGGTCTAGGCGTATACTGTTCAAGACAACGCGATCAGCGTACGTCGTAATGTAACGTCAAGGTCAGTCACTTTCAAAAGATGGTCCGTCACAAAATAATTTCTTAGTGTGACAGCTGCATAAGTAATATTATTAAATATATCACAATAAATAATTTGGGGAATAAACATATGCAATAGGCCTAGGTAGGCCTATACATATCCATTAACGACATAAATGCATTTGGGTACGAGTTCGCCAAAAGTCATGCGTCTGAGATCACTCTAATCGTGTGTACGAATTGGCCTAGACTAGGCCTAACTTTGTGTGCGAGTTCGCCAAAGTGTGTACGAGTTTGCATGCTAGCCGACACCCGAAAATAGGCCTATTGCAACTAGGTCTAGGCCTACCACTAAACCTAGCCCTACTTTTCTACTAGCTAATACTGCTGACCTACCTACGCCTAGGCTAGGGCCTAGCTAGGTCGTAGTGACTAGGCTAGGCCTAGGCCTAGTACTCTACTACTACTAGCCTAGTGTGGTTATGTTGGAACGTAAGGCCTTGGTAAGATAGAAATATATCAATGAAGAAAATAACACCGTACTATCTAAAAAGTGGCACAGAATAAATAGATTACACGTCCGACGAGAATCAATCTTCCTCGCATTGACATTGTTTGTAGGCTAGGCTTTAGGCCTAGTTATTTTGATTTGGATTGAGTGTTGCGTAACAAGCTGAATTATGGAACGCCAAAGGTGCAACCTTCAACACTTCAATGATTACACAAGTACTCCCAACAACGAATATACAAACACTCCAACGATTATACAAACTCACGGGCCTGATCACACAAATCGTTATTAATATATCACATTGTGCTATTGGTACATTAAATCGAACGAAAAATCTAAAACCGGTGTAATTTATCACGTAACGAAAACTTGGTAAACTCTTAAATTTGTAGAATACTGTGTGGGTTAACCTTCCGGTCATCGTATATAATTGCCATTACATGCTATCATTCTAATATCTTAATTATGCTATTGCATTCATTCCATTTCGCATTTCTTGGTGAAAAGGGAGGCATGATCCTCCCCTGGGTTTATAGTTTATATATATACTTATTTTATGTACTCTATGGAAATATCTGAAATAAAAGTTGATTAATTGATTGATCATTACAATTTGTTTTGTTTTTGAACCTATTTAATTTCAGTGCGTAGAGTTCTTATCACTCAATCTTAATCGCTCCGCTACATAGTGTAGCCCAGGGTTGCCAGATAGTCGACAGGCTTCACGGCCAAACACACGCCATCTCACGGCCAAATTCGGCCAAACTTTTTTTCAATATCGGCCAAAATTCGGCCAGATTTTAATCCGATTAGAAGACAGTTATGTGGGTACATATTCATTTGAAATACTGCAAAAATTACAGGAAAATCAGGGGCCGTTCGTGTGAAATTGAAGAAATTCAAATAATATACACAGAACAATGTTAAACTTCTTTTAAATTAATCTATCACCATAAAATACATGCCCCAGCTACATCATAATATTAAATAGCCTAGGCCCTATTTTCTTTAGTTTGACGCCCGAAAATAACTTTATGCGTTTGGGCGATCAAATTTTTTTTTTTTTTTTTTTTTTTTTTTCACCACTCCCCACCCCCTCCCCAACCCTAAATCCGCTTCTGCTATTTAAAATCACATCATTGAGAGTGATCTAAATTGATTTAAATGTATTACATATTAACGTACATTGTAGTCGATCTATAGCAAACATTTTAAGGTCCTGTTATTAATCAACCCGTTTCTCTCTTTAATTAGAATGAATTAAGTTACATAGTTAGGTAACACAAACTGGCGTTAAAACAAACCTATGAAAACTTTGAAATTGGAGGAGCCATCGAACCCGGATGAGCACATCGAGCAATTATATATGGCGCTCTACATAAATAACACTGCAGCACCTAGGGCTTTACAATTCAAGTGGGCAATAATAAATTAATTAAGTATAGTATTTAATTTATATTCAAAAGAAGTTCAAAAGAGATAGAACATCCACTAGAATGGAACATATACAAAGACACACAGTATGGTACAAACTTGCATTGAACTTCATAAAAAATATGTATTTCATCCGAACAATTTAAATTATTAAATGTAACTTATCTTTTAAATAAACTCTCTTACCTCACATCAGCTAAAGGGGGAACATAGATTAAGTGTTTAGTGCAAACAAAGGTACATGATTCAGGAGCGGATCCATGATTTGGAAGAGGGGGGTTCAAAACGTTTCCAAAAATACCCAAAATGAAAGGGGGTCCGGGGGTCCTCCCCATGGGAAATTTCCCCCTTGAATCCGCCACTGTATGGCGAATCCTTTAAAGCTCAGGTGACCTAGGTTTTTAAAACAAATACCGTATAGGCCTATACTCACGTATAAACGAGGATTAAAATAGCAAACTACGATCGAAAAAAGTCGTCTTATACGCACGACATTCAGATTTTAGATTTTTATATTCATGTTCGTCTTATGTGCGGATGTTCGTCTTATGTGCGGATCGTCCGTAAATCTGGTTTTCTACTAGGCGAATTTATTCACGCGAATCCAAAGCGTCGGCTTATGCACATGCGCATTCACATTCCTATCGGAGTTTTTGAGAAGCGAACAAATGCGCAACCAATCAGAGCTCAGGAAGCGAGCCGACTCTTTGATTTGCGCGAATAAATTCGCTTAGTGAAAAACCAGCTTAACACGCTAGCTTACTACTGCAATGAAGCAACTAAATGTTGCTTCATTATAGTACTCGCTGCTTACTTTGGCTCGAATTCAACCCTGGCCATCAGGTGCAAGCTCGGTAGTCTAAAGGCATGATGCCAGGCTAGTGATCTTGAGAATGTGGGTTCGAGTCCCACTGGAGAACAACTTGCAAATATATTTTGCAAGTGTTTTCACACGCACTGAGTATTCAGTAAATTTTCACGACAGGTTGGGCAAAATTACACATATACCGTAGGCCCCCCTAATTAATTCTCCTGGCGCAAATTCAGGTATTGTATATTCCATCACGATAATAACAATTACCATTCAATAATAGAACAGTCATCGACCTACTTGCAGTGAAGTGAATCTAAAATGTATTCATGAAGTTATGATGATCTGAAGTGTTTAAAAACGTACACAACTATTATTGTGTACTTTTAAAAACGTACACAATAATAGTTGAACCAACTTTAAAATACCACAAATACAAATGTGCGTGACGATATTTTATTGCTTTAGAAATGTGATTTCAAAAAGTGTATTAGTGAATCACGCACTGAGTACCGTATTCAATACATTTTCACAACAGGTTGGGCAAAATACATATAGGCCCCTAATTGATTCTCCTGACGCAAATCCAGGTATTGTCTATTCCATCATGATGATAACAATTGCCATTCAATAATAGAACAGTCATCGATCTACTTGCAGTGAACTGAATCTAAAATGTATTCATGAAGTTATGATGATCTGAAGTGCTTAAAAACGTACACAATAATAGTTTAACCAACTTTAAAATACTGTACCACAAACACAAAATGTGCGTGACGATATTGTATTGCTTTAGAAATGTGCTTTCAAAAAGTGTATTAGTCCATCGTATACGTAAGGGCTTGTATTGTTGTTTTTTTTTACTTGCAGCGTTTTGGAAATAGGTAGGCCTAATAGGTAAATTGTAATGAATATAATCAATAACTATAGCCTCTAAAACCTAATATTATTGAAGGGTCCTTTTAAAGTTTGAATAGGATTTTTTTAAAGTTAATTTTTTAGATCATTATACATATTGAATGAGCCCCCAATAGCCCCGGGCCCCAGTGCTGTGGTTACATAACGTTTGCTATGCACTGTATCATGTGCTATAGAAGTGGAAGACCATAATGTATTGGGAATGTACCTCTCTCTCTGGTAGGGCCTACAGTACAATCAGTTTAAAAGTGTAAGGTATAGGATAGTGTGGATTTTTAAACATTTTTCTAATGGTAATGTTCAAAATAAGTGTCAATGAAAGTAAGTATGATGGTTGGAAAAAATGGTCAACATTTTATTTTGAATTCTCACCCTGAACTTCGCTTGGGCGAAGTGGGCGAAGGTCTGGATCCGCGTCTAGTTAGCATGAATTTTGTAAGCCAGGACCCATAGTGTTTTGTTACGTTTCTTCACAGAGGGGGGAACGAACCCCCCTCCCTAACCCCCTGGATCCGCCACTGTGATTAGAATCAAATATAGAATTTAAGCTAACAAAGACAACACATCCAAAACAAGCCTGTTATATTAAGGCCTGTATTGAAAAAAAAATGTAAATTAAAAAATTTCTGCCAAATTCGGCCAAATATAGTTTGGCCGTGACTTTTCAAACGTTACGGCCAGGCAAAATTTTATACGGCCAGATTTGAGGAATCTGGCCGTCAAAAAGGCCAAATGGCAACCCTGATTCCCGCTATCTACGAATTAAAATTTTCCCTGGGGAGAACCCCCGGATCACCATTTCTTTTTGGGATTTATCGATTCATGGAAAAAAAGAATACGCATGCAACTACTCATTTATTTACAGGCCCGTAGCCAGGTCATTTCAAGGGGGGGTTCTCTGGGCGTGGGGTCCAGGACACTGAATAAGGGCCTGGGGTGGGGTCGGGGGCGAAGCCCCTGAAGCCAGAGCAGTTTTTGTGTTTAATGGGTCTATATAATGTTATAAAAGCAGTTATGTTTTTAAAAAAGATCTATGTAATAAAAGGTGGTATATAATAAAATTTGAAAATATTTTCTGAGAATTGGCATGTTTTAATCAAACCGACAGACAAAAAAAAAACCTCATCGCATAATCAATATCAATACACTCAACACATTTATTATTATAAAACAAAACAAGCTATTATATAGGCCTATAAAGTAATTTACAAAGATTTACTACAACTGACAGGGCCATCGTTAAATTAAGTCAGAGCCCAAAATATAGCATCATATTGAAAACGTCATCTACCATCATGGGGACCTAAACTTTAATTACAATTATTTGTTTACTAGGCCTAATTCGAAATTATTGTTTTAAGACTTTAACCTAATACAAACTGCTGATTAATAATAGCTGAGATTTGATGCACATTTCAGAATTAATAATCGTTTTTAGTATCTTACTGAATATTTATTGTCTACCAAATGAAATATGAATTATATATGAATCTTTAGAAATACAATTTCTACAATATTAATCTTGTTTTTATATAGATAAATGTTCGATAAATACTATCTTTCATAAAATAAACGAAATTCAGCGCGTCTATTTTCATTCCAATCAATGGCGTTTGTAAATATGTGTACTGACGCCATCGTCGAATCCCTGGACTTTCGACGGCAAAGCTGGCCTGCCTGGTCCCAGGCCAACCAATAATAATTAACAAAATGTATTATTTTTTTAAAATATAGGCCTATGGCGCATCCTGTACATGCACTTCAACTTTTACAACAAAAGCCTAGGCCTAGTAGTACGTCTGACTGTACTTAAGCCTATGCCTACACTAGTTTGATGTCGTCGGGGTATAATTCTGTCTCTAAATGCAGCGTGACCACTAGGGAAAATCAAAATTCAAGATTGGGTCTAAAAAATCCCAAGATTGCTTTTAAAAACCCAAGATTCGCAAAATATTAGTACTGTATATAAACTTCATTTAAAAGTCCTTCATTTTTTAAAGCTTTTTCAATGAATCATATTCTGTA